TGGTGCTGGCATAACTGGATATCCATCTGCAAAAAACTGAAACAAGACCCATACCTCACACCATGCACAAAAACTAACTCAAAATGGATCAAAGACATAAATATCAAATTGAACACTATAAAGATTATGGAAGAAAAAACAGGGACAATGCTAGGAGTTCTAATACATGGCATAAACACAATACAAACCATAAGTAACAATGCAAATATCAGAAGAGAAACTAGATATCTGGGAGCTCCTAAAAATCAAACACTTATGCTCATCAAAAGACTTCACCAAAAGACTAAAAAGACAACCTACAGACTGGGACAAATCCGATCAGCGTTTAATCTATAAAATCTACAAGATACTGCAAAACCTCAACAATAAAAAGACATAACCCAATTAAAAAATGGTCAAAGAATATGAACAGGCACTTCACCAAAGAAAGCATTCAGGCGGCTAACAGATACATGAGGAAATGGTCACGATTATTAGCCATTAAAGAAATGCAAATCGAAACTACAATGAGATACCATCTCACCCCAATAAGGCTAGCATTAATCCAAAAAACACAAAATAATAAATGTTGGAGAGGTTGTGGAGAGACTAGAACACTTATACACTGTTGGTGGGAATGTAAAATGGTACAACCACTTTGGACATCGATTTGGTGCTTACTTAAAAAGCTAGAAATTGAAGTACCATACGATCCAGCAATCCCACCCCTTGGACTATATCCTAGAGAAATAAGAGCCGTCACACAAATGGATATATGCACACGCATGTTCACTGCAGCACTGTTCACAATAGCAAGAAAACGGAAACAACCTAGGTGTCCATCAACAGACAAATGGATAAACAAAATATAATGGAATACTACACCATGATAAACAATAATGATGAATCCGTGAAACATCTCATAACTTGGATGAATCTGGAAGGCATTATGCTAAGTGAAATCAGTCAGTCACAAAAGGACAACTATTGTATAAGACCACTATTATAAGAACTCAAGAAAAGGTTTAAACACAGAAGAAAACATTCTTTGATGGTTACAATGGTGGTGAGGGAGGGAGATGGGTATTTACTAACTAGATAGTAGACAAGAATTATCTTAGGTGAAGGTAAGGACAGCACACGCTACAGGAGAAGTCAGCACAACTGGACTAAAGCAAAAGCTAAGAAGTTTCCTGAATACAACCAAACATTTTAAGGGACAGAATATCAGGGGCAGGGGTCTGGGGACCATGCTTTCAGGGGACATCTAGGTCAACTGGCATAACAAAGTTTATTAAGAAAATGTTCTATATCCCACTTTGGTGAGTGACGTCTGGGGTCTTAAAAGCTAGCAAGCAGCCATCTAAGATGCATCAATTGGTCCCAACCCACCCAACCCAAAGGAGAATGAAGAACACCAAAGGCACAAGGAAAATATTAGCCCAAGAGACAAAAGGGCCACATAAACCATAGACTCCATCAGCCTGAGACCAGAAGAACTAGATGGTGCCTCAATACCAATGATCGCCCTGACAGGGAACACAAGAGTCCTTGACAGAGCAGGAGAGAGGTGGGGTACAGAACTCAAATTCTAGTAAAAAGACCAGACTTAATGGTCTTACTGAGACTGCAGGGGCCCTGGAAGACATGGCCCTGGACTTTCTGTTAGCAGAAAACTAAAACCATTCCTGAAGCCAATTCTTCAGACAAAGATTAGACTGGTCTATAAGACATAAAATGATACTCGTGAAGAGTGTGCTTCTTAACTCAAGTAGATACATGAATCTAAATGGGCAGCGCCTGTCCTGAGATGAGAAGGCAGAGAGGGACATGAGCTGGTTGAATGGACACGGGAAACCCGGGATGGAAAGGAGGAGTGTGCTGTCACAGTATGGGGACAGTACTAGGGTCACATAGCAGTGTGTGTATAAATTTTTGTATGAGAAACAAACGTGAACTGTAAACTTCCATTTAAAGCACAATTGAAAAAAAAACTGTAAAAGGGGCAATTTAACAACTGAACAAATTATTGAGAGTTAGCAATGAAAGAAAGGCTTGCCTTTAGATATTACATATCATACTATTTTAAAGTATTTATTGATGATCAAATACCTATTTACCCAACACCACATAAAAACGGAAAAGGATGAGCTACTAAGAGCCCTAGAAAGTGCAAATGATTAACATGCTCAAGTGCTAACTGAAAGGTTGGAAGTTCAAGTCCTAGTGATCTATTTCCGAAAAATCAGCCATAGAAAACTCTCTGGAGCACAGTTCTACCCTGAAACACGTGGGATTGCCATGAGTTGGAGTCAATTCGACCGTAACTGGTTAATTGTTTAGCTTAAAGTAAAAGATCTGCAATCACAGTATGGCCTCTTTTTATTGAAATGAACATAAAATCATTGCTGTTTGGGTTATAGTAGGGAAAAAAAAGAACAAGTAAGGACAAAAAGTTTTCTGAAAGGGGACAAGAGCAAACTTCAGGAGAGAAAACCAAATTTAAAAAGAAACAGGGACTTAGTCAAGGTGCATAAGCCTGTAATTTGATTAGGGTTAGTTATTATGGATATATTGGCAAATTTAAAATATTTTAAATAGAATTTTAAATAAAAGCTTCAATTTAGCTTGAGCAATCTCTCCCCCACAAGAAAAAAAAACTAATTCTGTAACATGTAAATAATGATTATGTTCTTTGCTAAAGGGGAAAACTGTAAAATAGATTTTATCATCAAGCTTAAAATGATAAATAATAGTAAAATAGATTTTAGACATGAAAGACAAAAATAACCTTGACAGCATCCTTTTAATTTGATTATTTGCCTCAATGTTCATAAACAAAGATGGGGAACAGATGCCACAAAGAAAAATGGCTAGGGAAAAGAAATAGTGAAGGAAATCAGGTTAATTAGGATTCAATCAAAATTAAATAAACATGTAAATCTTTAATTCTGTAACTCTAAAGACTGCCAGAGTCTGTGTCAAAGCACTAGACACTCAGGAAGGCATTATGCTTTTGAACTCATTGGATATGAGAAAGGATGACTATTCAGTTTAGAAAAGATGTTATAATTTAACTGATCACAGAGTAATTAACAGGGATAATTCAAAAACTCTCATCTTTTTAATTCAGCTTAAATCTCTGCAGACTCAGGAAATGTGAGTTGGAATCATACAAACAGACTACATACATAGATATGGCCTATGTTCTAGTAGGGAAAATTTAGAATGTTTTTTCTAAGTGAAATCTGTCATTCCTATGAAAAAGGAGGAAAAAAAGAAAAACTAATTTTCTAGAAGAAAATCTGCGCTACACATTTCTATCCCTAGGACATCTCACTGCTTTCATTTTATTTTTGCTCATTTATATTTTATTTACACGAGGTGCATTTTGGGGCTTATGATATTTTAAAGAAAAAAAAATCTGTGATGACAGATTTTAGCCCTTGTGTGAACATGCCCAGTTTCCAGCATGTCCTATCATCACCAATAGAAGCAATTATGAGGTTCCCACTATGTAAAAGGCTTTCTACAGCATGGGCTACTTAGAAGGGTCCCTATAAGGCTAAATTACCAAATACATGGTTTAGTGATAAGAAGACAATATGTTGGTAATGCGGTGTATGTATCTTCACCCATGTGTTATAAATGTGTGAAAACAAGCCCTGTCCATATTTAAGAATGGCAAGTAATCCAACTATTATTTCTACACAGCAGACAAATAGATGGTCCAGCAGCCACTTTAGCCACATAACTTTAGAACTATTTTAGTCTGCCTAAGCAGACCCAGAAAGGTGACTTCAAGAACATGAAGGTTAATATTGTTGTCAATGCAGGACAGACAAACTTTCATGCCTCTTAACAGAATGATGGGTCAACATTTCTCAAACTTGAAAGACTAGTTCCATTTGAATGTATTATCTTCAGAAAACCCTGGGAAGATAGATTTTGCTTTTAAAAAAAAAAAGTTACCTTTGCTCTCCGGCTACAGTATCCTCTATCCCTAAAATAAATTTGTTCAGTAAAACAAGCACTGCATTCGTATTTACATGATCGAGTTTTTACATTATGATTTTTTGTCATATTAGCTCAAATAAATGCAAAATGAAAACTTTCATCTCAATTTTTTCTGGACAAGTATCTGCACAATGTATTGTATAATCTTATAAAATATATAAAAATATATGCATATATATGCCTAGAGAGAGGATTAAAAGGAAATACACCAACATAGTAACTGAGATTTTCTTTCACACATTCATAGTATGATTAATAGTATGACTTTTCTCTTCTTTTCATTTTTTCTCTCCTGTATTTTTCTTATAGCAAATACATATTATTTTTATAGTATTAAAGTCATAAAGGTTATTTAAACCCAACTACGATTTCCCTGAAAATTTTATTTTGGAAATAGAATTTTCCAGTGCTTAACTGGTTCTGACATATACAAGTAGCCATACTTTTAGAAGAAGGTAGAGGTTCAGGCTTTACAGACATACCTTGCTGCACGGGGCAAACCAGTAGATGAGAGCCAGGAAGGGCAGTCCAATGGCAACAGCGAGGACGACAAGAAACTTGACTGCCATGGTCTGCTGCCGTAAACCAGAAAGATTCTCATACCATATGGAGAGAAGCTGCTGCTGGCAGTTTGGATGAGCTACGAACTAGCAGGGAAACAACAAAACGTTTAACAGCTTGATTAAAGAATGTTTCAGCATAAACTACTTGTATGTGTTCTAATATTTACTTCTGTGATTTCCCTTGCAAAAATATCGTTAGAATTAAAGAACAAACATAAAACATCTAGTGAATAGGCATCAGGATGGCAGGAGGTTCTAAATATGTATTACATAACTTAGAAGATTCCAATTCATTGGGCCTTTCCTCTGTGACTAATGGGCTTTCTTTCAAAGCACAGAAACACTTTTGAAATTTAACACTATAAAAAGATTCGTTAATGTTTTACATAAGTGCTTTTATGGTTATATATTATTTTCCCATCTAGAAGAAGTGATGTAAAGTTCCTGCTAGCCAAGATACTACATTTTTAATATATTACCTTTCCTTCACTGACCTAAAATGCTACACTGTTTTATATGGTATTTGCATATGTATTATAATAATATATTATATTATTATTACAATAGAACAAGTCTGTTTTGGAAGAAGTACAGCCAGAGTGCCCCTAGGACTTGAGGATGGTGAAACTTCGTTGCGCTTACTTTGGATGTGTTATCAGGAGTGACCAGTCCCTGGAGAAGGACATCATGCTTAGTAAGGTAGAGGGTCAGCAAAAAAGAGGAAGACCCTCAAGGAGATGGACTGACACTGTGGCTGCAACAATGAGCTCAAACATAGCAAAGATTGTGAGGATGGCACAGGACCACGCAGTGTTTCATTCTGTTGTACACAGGGTTGCTATAAGTCAGAAACGACTCGACGGCACCTAACAATGACGGATCTGTTTCTGGACTGCCTCTTCTGCTCCATTGATACCTCTTTTTGTTCCTATGCCACAAATGCTTTCAATTAAAACTCTTTATAATAAACTTTCAAGGCTTTACCATTTTTTATTTTTCTGAATGAAATTTTTATTTTCTCATATACTTATTTTTTTGTAAATTAACTTTGCACATGACAAAGGGCCAAGTTATTTAATATACGAAAAACAATATCCAAAATAAAAAGTGGTAAATAATATTAAGAGATAGATTATATAAGAAAATTACAAATGATTCTTAATGATGGTTAATCTCTAAGATTATTAAAACCAGATACAATTTTTATCTTCTCAGAATGGTAAAGACTAAAAAGTTTGATAATATCCTCTGTGGGTGGGGGAAATAAGCCCTCTCATACACTGCTGGTGTGCGTACAAACTGGTACACCTTTTTTAAAGGGTCATTTAGCAAATGTATAGCAAAAAAAAATTGATGTAGTAATTCTACATATAGAAATTCTGTCTACAAATAAAATTCATGAAAGTAAGCAAGCTATATAAATAAGGATGTCTACTGCGGTATCTTGTAATCACTAAAATCTAAAGAAAATAATAAACACCCATAAATAATTGATTAAATGAATATAACAACTATGTTATTGTTGTTAGTTGAGTCAATTCTGACTGACATCAACCCCATGGGTTACAGAGTAGAACTGCTCCATAAGATTTTCTTGGCTACAATTTTAACAGAAGCAGATTGACAGGCCTTTTCTTCCATGGTAGCGAGTGCTGCCTTTGAAAAGATAAAATGTGTGCTACTGACTGACATGTGAAGATGTTCAAGATATAAATTTGTGGAGGTAAACATGACAGTGTTTGATGACTATCCATTAGGAACTGGGGAGATAAAAACGGGGCGTGACTATAGTATTTGAAAATTTACCATAGGCGTGTATTGTTTTTATTATAAAAACCAGCTTTTAAAAACTGTTTTTTTTTTATATCTTACATAACTTAAGAAAGCAGCCAAGTGGAGACACTACATGGAAAGAAAGGTTAAAAACATTTCACAGATATAGTTGGAGGGGATTAAAATGTATTAAAGAAGGAATTGAAGGATTTGGTCCCAAACTGAACTATATAAAAGAATGAGAAAATGGAGTTGGGACTTAAGTAATGATGTTCCCATCATATAACAAATGCTTTCTAATTTGGATGCAAAAACTTACTGTTCTATCATTACTTAAGTCAAGGAAATTGGTAATCACTTCAGTGTTCTGCATAAACAAGTCTAGATGTTAAAGATGGGTATTTATTGTAGGCTAAGTGCCTCACACTAGGCTCTCAAACGATTTGTTAGAGAAAATGCTGCCTACCGTTGACTATTAATTAGAAAAACCCAACTCAATCTAACTATATCAACACTTCATCCTTATTTAGCACCATAAAAACTGAAATAATGTAAACTGGGCTTCATGCCTGACCTTACTTTTTTTACTTCATATTTAATGGCAAGTTTTAAACGGCTGAGATTTGGACGACCATGGTCTCCACCGTTATGGCGCATCTCAACATCCCCATTCAGAATGGCCTCTACTTCTTCGGTATTTCTGCACAGATCAAGGAGTCCAACAACAAAATCTTTGCATTGCATTGACAGTTTTTTGTAGTCATTCTAGGGAGAGACAAAGCAAAACATAAGACAATAATGCAGAAGTAGCGAATTTTACTATGCTATACAGTGGAATTTTTCAGTGACTTGAAAGTTTATACACGTCAAAAGTCTATTTTTTAAGTTTCACTGTTTTTTTTAAAACATCTTTCTATTGCTGTTCTGCTGTGTGACCTCTGCAATTTTTTAGCACCATAAAGACTGTCTCCACACCCTAAGAAAGGAAATTTGCTTAAAGCATATAAGTTATCAAAATTTAGTGTGGCTGTGTCAAACTCACCTACTGATTCAGAATAAATATAAAACAATGAACTTTTCCCAGAGCACAATTATAGTAGTTTGCATACATCATCTCCTTTATGCTCGTAACTTCAGCTAGAAGCATAATAAACATTTGATAACTTTTTGGAAGACGTAGTGGGGGCTTGATAAGCTTGAGAAACAAAACATTTGGAGAGGTACCAGAGAACAGCAAACACGTATCTATTTAACAATTAGAAATTAAGGAACTTCATGTGCCAAGCAAAGGGTCAACAAATAAGATGTAGATATAAAGTCTACAAATTGAGATCCTTCTCTTTAGAGAAAAGAAAGTTTAATGAAAATGCTTCTTCTGTTGTCGTTTATTGCTGATCACCTAATATTATGTTTGGAAGATTTAGACAGTGGAGGTCATATTCAAATACCAAAAATCTCACGTCATCCTTATATATCGCATCTATTCACACCTTCATTCAAGTCTTTCTGACATTTCCTTATCCTGAAATAAGACCATTTATAACCCAATGTTAATCAAGAAAACCAATTAGCTAGAGTTTGGTATGTTACAAGTGGTCTGTATTATCTCATTTAATCTTCACAATAATCTTGCTCGCCTAGATTAAATAATGGGTCCAAATCACACAGCCAGTCAGTATCAAAATCAGGCTTTAAACCTGAATCTCTTTTGCTCCAAATCCCTTACCTTTAAGAATTATGCAACTTTGTCTCTTCTTTGTAGAATGCTTTTTCTCTTTTGATCTTGGAATCAACTGGGAGGGAAGCAAGGCAAATACTATTCCCATTTTGCACATGAAAAGACTAAGATCCCCTGAGGTCATACAGCTTCGGTGGTAGAAAACCTAACCAAACCAGCTGCAGTCACGTCTAAGCTGACTCATGGGACCCCATGTGTAGAGCTGGATCTTAAACCCAGCTCTGCAGATTCAAAGCCAGTTGCCCCTCTTATCCTGAGGCCACTGGTGTGTTAGTGGAAAGCTCCCTTGGAAGGACCAAGAGAGAAGATGGAGAAATATGTGTGGCTCTGGATGTTCGTCAATAATGCAATATTTTGGGGGAGTCTATCTGGAGCACAGTTTCATACTAGGCATGTATAAACACCTACTTGTGCTTCTCTCTGTAAATCACACCATGTGAACTTTTAATATAGTTTAGTAACTGCTAAACAGGCTATGCTTTGCTAACTGTAGGCCCAAACAGATTTTATAGAAGTAAATTGATAAAGCAAATTATATCTTAGCTGAGAACAGCTAAAGCTACTTTTAAACAGGTATCTGGTCAGACAGTGTAAGCAAAGTCATAAGGAATAACTTTACCTCTATCCCCGGGGTCACGAGGACAGTCTTTCTGATGTGGAAGTGCGTATGTTGTCCACAGGCAATATAAGGTAGTGGTTCGGAATTTAGGCTTTCAGGAGCTAGAGAGAGCTGAAATCAAAGCCTAGTTCTTCCATTGATTAGCCATGTAACCTTAAATAAGTTAAAATCACTCTGATGTAGGTGCTCTCATTTTCCTGATAAGAAAACTGAAGCTTAGTGAGGTAAGTATTGAAAAGAGCATATATGCAAGTACTTAGCATGGAGCCAAGCATATAGTAAGCATTCAAAAAAGTGTAACTATCTTATTTTGGACCATTAATGACAAGATCTGAAAACAGGCCATTTCTTGACATTTGTAAGATACCAAGTAGCACTGCACTGTTATAAAGACTTATGTATATGAGTTCAAACTGACAACAGTTCATCTAAAGCACAGATGAGAACTTTAAGGGGCAGTGTAAATTAATGATGATGTAACACATAGATAGGGACAGAATGGTGACGCAACGCGACGTGTCTAAGCAATATTATTGAATTTTACACGTAGAACTTGTCAATGGATGTATATTTGGTTGTGTATATTGCCACCAAAAAAAAAAAAAGAGTTTAAAGTTTATAACAACAACAAAATATTAGTCAAAATCAATGCTCTAGAATTCTAAGGAGGCTCAAGTGAAATCAGATATTGAAAAAGAGAGCACGAGCCTTCAAGCGTGAGGAAACACTTCTGTAGAAACCATATGGACCACAATAGCAAAGTGCATGCACTTTGTGCTATTTAATGTCTTGACCTTAAACACTGTTTCCAATTCACTGTTAATTCTCAAAAGATATATTCTCAAGCAAAAACATGCGACTAGGAAAAAAAAAAAAAAGTAAGAACGCCGTTCTGCTTTTAGAAATACACACATTTTCACCTTAGGAATCCCTATTTCACATTCCCTCAAACTGGCATGTAACCTCACTTAAAATAAAATGCTGGCAGTCCTTTATTAACCAGAATGCAGCACTGTGAATTTTGGTTCTTTGAGAGGAAAAGTGAAGCTAGAGGGTTCATTTAAATCTGGGTCATGTCTTTGGGTCACACACCCACACCATACATTGTTAAAAGTAGGTGCTCACCCACTAACCTTTGAGTTGAAAAGGAATGACTGACAGTGGACTAACAGAACAGAGGTTAGAGATTATGAAAAATTAAAAATCTCCCTGCTAAAATGATCCTTTGAAAGGGCAATCTAAGTTGGATTTTACATAGTAGAATAGATGTTATGATCTGTAATTTTAATCTCTGGCTCTTCTTTCTATATAAGTAATGAAGCGTACTTCATAAAAATTAACAAAACTAAACCAAAGCCAAACCCGTTGCCGTCTCATAGCAACCCTAGAAATCTACTGGATTTCCAAGGAGCAGCTGGTAGATTTGATCTGCCGACCTTTTGGTTAGTAGCCGTGACCTTAACCACTACACCACCAGAGCTCCAAAAATCAACAGGGTAGGGAAAAATATACACCTTGATTCTTAGTGATCAAAGGTATGGGCTTTGGAAAGCGGCAGACCTGAGTGGTTTGAAAGTAGGCTGCCACTTACTAGTTGTGTGACTTTGAGAAAATGGCTTAATCCCTTGAAGTCTCAAAATCCTTATGGATAAAATGGGGATAATACTAGTTATTTGCTTCCTAAGGTTGCTGTGAAGATTAAATGAGATAATAAATACAAAGTCCCTGGCACAGCATAGTGCAAAATCGATGGTAATTATTATTATTTTAATTATTTCACAAACAATATCCAGCTCTTCTCAGTCCCTTGTCACAAAAGCTATGCTACAAAGTTCTGTTGGGATTCCTGGTTATCATCTTAAAATACATGAAAATAAAACAATTATTCATTCATGCATTCTTTCAATAAATTTTCTAGGCACCAGGTGTTATGATAGACACTGCAGTTTTACCATGATGGGAGTTTTGTAAAATAAGATCGTGTACTTGAAGAGTTAGGTAAGTGTAGAATATTATTACCTATATAGTGGTGAGTGGGCCAGCCATGCTTCTTGAATTAAGTGTAACTCTGGGGGTTTTCTGCTCTTCAGGATAATTGTTTTTGAGCTCTGATTAGAGGCACTTATAGAGTACCTACTATATAAGGTCGCTATCAGTCAGAATCGACTCAACAGCAACAGGTTTTACAGGGCCCTGGTGGCGCAGTGGTTAAGAGCTCGGCTGCTAACCAAAAGGTTGGCAGTTTGAATCCACCAGCCGCTCGGCGGAAGCCCTATGGGGCAGTTCTTCTCCATCCTATAGTGTCACTATGAGTTGAAATTGACTTGATGGCAATGGGTTTTGTTTTGGTTTTACTATGTGGAGCTGTGAGGGACCTAAAAGTTGATCAGACACTACTCCATAAAAAAGGTAAGAAGAAGTGGGATACAATTTCAAAAGAAGAATTAAAGAAAAACATTTTCCTAGCTATGTCAGGTGCTATTGACTTCACTATTGATTGTCACCATCAGCAGTAGCTGCTTATCTCACTTAATAGAGCATTGCTAACCAGCTTTTATTCTTCCCTCAGCACAGGAATTGTCAGGTATCATAGAAGAGCAGCAGTGAAAGTAAACAGGTGGCTTCAGGGGCTGGGGCCTCTTGTGAAGCAAACTGCTGCACTTAACTTCCCTTCAAGGAGCCCTGGTGGCACACTGGTTAAGTGGTCGGCTGCTAACCAAAAGGTTGGTGGTTCAAATCCACGAGCTGCCCAGTGGGAGAAAGCTGTGGCAGTCTGTTTCTATAAAGATTACAGCCTTAAAACCCTATGGGGCAGCTCTACTCTGTCCTATAGGGTTGCTATGAGTTGGAATCAACTCGATGGCAATATTTGTTTGTTTTGTTAACTCCCCTCCCTAACTGTTGGCTTGTCATAAATCTAAAATTATCCCAGACTATATCACTGCCCATCTATTTCAAACTGTGATAAGAAATTCAAACTTAAGGATACACACACACACACCTCTAATCTCTAACACTGTATTTTACCCAAAGAGGAATTGGCATCTATTTGCTCCACATTAGAAGTATGTGACCTTCTTTTTCACTCAGATAGCTCCCTCCTACTGTATATTACTTATAGAGTCACTTTACTGTAATTGGAGCCCTGGTGGCACAGTGGTTAAGAGCTTGGCTGCTAACCAAAAGGTAGGCAGTTTGAATCCACCAGCTGCTCCTTGGAAACCCTATGGGGCAGTTCTACTCTGTCACATAGGGTCTCTATGAGTCGGAATTGACTCGACAGTAACGGGTTTTACTGTAATTATTTGTTTATGTATCTGCCTCTCTTGAATAGACTCAAATATCCTGATGGACAAGAACTATGTCTTACCCATCTTTGAGTCCTCACATCCTAGCACAGTGTGTGGCAAATAGTAGATGATCAGTACATTTTGTTGAATGATGTAAGGAAAGAAACATGGGCTGTGTACAAAACATACCTGGATTTGAATTCCTGCTCAGCCACTTAATGACTATGTGATCTTGGAAAGTGTCTTAGTCATCTAGTGCTGCTCTAACAGAAATACCACAAGTGGATGGCTTCAACAGAAAGAAGTCCATTCTCTCACAGTCCAGTAGGCTGCAAGTCCAAACTCAAGGCATCAGCTCCAGGGAAAGGCCCTCCGCCTCTGTTGGCTCCAGAGGAAGGTCCCCATCATCAGTCTTTCCCTGGTCTGGGAGGCACCCCAGCACAGGAACCCCAGGTCCAAAGGATGCGCTCTGCTCCCGGCACGGCTCTCCTGGTGGCATGAGGTTCCCATGTGCCTCTGCTTACTTCTCTATTTTGTATCTCAAGAGAGACTGGCTTAAGACACTATCCAATCTTGTAAACCTCATCAGTATAACTTCATCACAGTGATAGAGTTTACAACACATAAGGAAATCACATTAGATTACAAAATGGTACACAATCACACAATATTGGGAATCATGACCCAGCCAAGTTGACAGATATTTTTGGGGGACACAATTCAATCCATGACAGAAAGGCTACTTTATTTTCTGGCCTTCCTCTAATATCTCCTAATTATGGAAATTTTAAAGGCTGCTGTATATAGTGGTTAAGAGTTCGGCTGCTAACCAAAAGGTCAGCAGTTCGAATCCACCAGGCACTCATTGGAAACCCTATGGGGTAGTTCTACTCTGTCCTATAGGGTAGCTATGAGTCGAAATCGACTCGATGGCAATGGATTTTTTATGAGTATATCATACAATTATAGAGAAAATTACTTAGAATAATGCGTAAAGCTCAACAAAGGTACATTTCTCTCTCTTTTTTGTTCACGATTCCAGCCCTATACTTCTGGTGCTGTGATTTTGCCTTGCAGGCCACTTAGCATTTAAGTGACACCCTTTGCCACCCTGCTAAGATCTGGTAACAGTCACACCGTCTTTATGCTAACAAAACTACTTTTCCGACTCAGTCAGTTTATTATAGAATGTTTCCCTTGCAAACCATTCCAGATAAGCCAAACAATGCCATATACACCAGAACATAGTAATAGTTTAAAAACAGACACAACAGAAGAAATCCTCTACCCTCCCCTTTCTCAAAGTCAGCAGCAGAGGCATCTGGAGGGCCATGTGCGTATCTAGGCACAGACCCAAGGAAGACATGAAGCAGCTGGAAAAGCTCCAGAAAAGCTAGGTATCTAGAATGATAGAAAGGAGGACAATCTCTGATGTATAAAAGTGGTAATTTTAGGGGAACTAAGTGGAAACGTTGTTGGTTAGTACAAACAACCTAAAATATAAACAGGCTCAGATGGGTTTAGAGACATAAGTCATAGGTACAAATTGAGATATTAAAACGAAAAGGGATTTGGAGGAATGCATTTGCTGACAAGACTGTCCCTGGTATTGATCGTCTTGTTTTTAAGATTTTTCTTCCATAATTGAGTATAGTCTTGAAGGAGAGAACGCAGGAATTCTGCTCTCCCTCTTTGGTGTCAAAAACAGTCAACATTCTGGGTTTTCTTTCTTTCTTTTTTAAATGATTTTGTATTTGTTGCCAATATTAGGCTTAAGCCAGGTTTAAGCTTAAGGTGGCTGAGGTGTCACGTTACCAAAGC